AGTAATGGCCTATAATTCAATAATTTTTCCACTTGTACTATAAATTTACGTTGTGACCAATTTGTTATTAGAAATAAGTGTAATAATTTTTACACTTTTGCAAATTATAGGTACATTCAAACATTAGTATGATACTGTTCAAGTAATAACGAATGAATTAATTCTTTTCTTGTATTATGAATTTATGAAGAATTCATTATTAACAAGAAATTGGATTATTTATACATTTTTATGAACTATAACTGTATTTGAATGACGTCATTGCCAAGAATTCCGTCCATTTACCTCTCGCAGTCTCAAAAATCGTCAAATGTTTAACTGAAGCATCGAAAATTTACAAAAGATAGGAAACATCTTAAACTTTGTGCATAGCTCTTAGCTTGATATCGTTTCCCAAAAAATAATTTAAAGTGTTTGAACTGAAGCCGAAGATAATCTTTCGAGGTTTTAATTATTTTTCTTTTTTCAAATATTATTTTGCCGCTTTTATTTTTACAGATTTTTATAAATTGTAGATACATAAACTATAAATAGGTGGGTAATTTGTTAATTTTCATACTTTTATTATAAATTTACGTTGTGAACAATTTGTTATTAATAATAAATTTGATAATTTATAAAAATGTTTTATAATCTGTAACTACATTCGTCATACAATATATGTATGACAAAATATTTTTATTTTCTTTCTACTTTTGGCTAAAACAAAATATTGCACGTAAAGTAAAATCGTTGGATGATTCATTTACAGACTGAAGGTTTGATAGGTGTTTATATTAAAAAGTCTAATTACATTCTAATTACAAGGGAATTACATTTTATTTCAACACCTTTCTTGACGCGCAGTTCAGTCATACGTTTTATATATGTACGAGATTGATATTTGTTGCTAGACTAAACATACTTTCTCAACACGAATAAAATATATCAATTTGTAAAGAAAAATATTTATTATATTATATATCTTTTGAATTATATATTTTAATTAGTCCGTGCATACTACGATTTGAATAAAATCAGAGATTTATTGTATACACGTATGTTTAAAAAGTAATAAAATAAATTCTTACAAAATATTGATCTATTTAAATAATGAAAAACTTCATTATATTAATATAAAGATACATACTTGCTATAAGTAGATACATAGTGCATTTAGTGATAACATCGTTATTGATTAAATTATAGGTAATATTGAATATATCACGAAGAGTTATTGACAATCTCTTATTTTTAATAGAATTAATTTTTTCCTTCTCCTAAATATGTGTGACAAGAAGGACAATAGTGTTTCGGCACCAAACAGCTGTCAATGCAATAAGGACAAGGAGCACAACACCACAATCTACAAAAGAATAATAAATGTAATTAGTTACTGCCTTTTTAAAAATGATTAATTAGTTATAAGTTTCGCAAAGATTATGTTTTATATAATTACCCAAAAGCACAAAGAGCAAGTGCAATAAAATGAGTTTTCATGTTTGCTTCAGTTCTTATTTCAGTTACAATTTCTGTTTGACAATGAGGACATCTTAAATGTTGCGGTTGAGGACCAAATTGCGGATTTACGACGACGACATCTGTGAAAATATTTTTTTGAATATTAGATAAATACAGAAAAACAATATTTTATACTAATTGTTACTGCATGCATGAGTATAATTTAATAATTTATTTATATTTAATAAATAAATATAAATATAACTTATAAAAGATACTGATAAGTACTAAAAAAAACATAAGAGGAAAAAAATTTTCGCAATAATATATATCCGTCTTTAATATTGGATACTTATTAATCTATCACATTTAAAATAGTATTTATTTATTGGAGATGATGTCCCTAACAAAGTCTTTGGAAGACAGAAAACACATGTACGTAACATGAAGTGATAACATTCATTAAAAATTATCTTGGATGCAATTGAATGTGTCAACTGATAGGCAATTAAACGTTTCTATATTTTAGTCAATAAGTTATTTCTTATATACATCTTTACGCTTTTCCGATTTTCCAGTTACTCCTCGCATGTGCAATCTGGTAGTCAGGCTCAATGCATTATTATTTTATTTTTCTATTACGTACGTGGTTGTCCTGATGATGGTGGGGGATCGTAACTAGGTGGTGGGGGACCGAAACCAGGTGGTGGGGGACCGTAACCAGGCGGTGGTGGTGGTGGCATACCTTTCTCCATTATAATTTAATTTTTTCTGAAATAATATTGATCATAGATAAATTTACTTCCTGTAATCAATTCCAGGAATTGTATTCAACGAATTAAATGCAATATTCTAATCTGATATTTAATCCCGTTATATCGAGTTCCATGTATATTTTATAAATGTTATCTAATCGTACTCATGTCGAATAACAGAAAATGTTGAAAAATGAAGAAAATGTCCGTTAAGTGCAAAATAAAATTATTTTCCATCACGTTTTTATTTTCATGTTAGATCTATTCTAAGATTCTTGATCTTTCAAGAACGAACAATGAATAATTGATGCTTGAAGCAGGCAATATTTCAATCACAGAATTAATATGGTTATATAAATGTATATTGGAACTGAACAGACCAACTTCTTCTACATAATCCCTTCCGCCAATAAGGAAGAATTACAACAACCTTCAGCCAATAAGGGAATGTCTAACGCTATGCTGTCCCTTTCTTGGATAACGTATCGCTAGATGTGAACACAGTCGAAGTGTAGCTCGTTTATGTAAATAACGAGTTCTCGATACATGTAGTGATTTCTAAAATGTTGCATGTGGAGATGTATCATTCGTTCAAATTTTAACGCTTACAATAAATACCTTTTTCTTTAAATCATTACACCTTTTTATATTTACCATATCACTGTCCTATCACTGTCCTCTATGTCCATTGTGAAAGATTTTACAATCTTATCCTAACATAACGTTGCGCAATTAACCTCTACTAGAGGTGCAAGGAATTGAATGCAAGTGCAAGAGATGTTTTTGTTTTATTGCATGTATTTCAAAGAATAGAATAATCGACTCTCAATACTAATTTAAATATTTTATAAATTTTCACATGTCCGGGAGAAAGGAATCAATGAAAAATAATTATGCTAGAAATACTTAATATATGGATGAAAGAAATATTATTTCTACTGCGTATTTACGAATAAAATAAATATTTTATGGTAACCGAATTCTTCAAGGAAAATAGTAAATGATACAAAATATTATTTTTTGAAAATTTTAACACTTTGAATATTCAATTTTTTATTACGATATATTACATTTTTCAAACATACTATTGGCAGTTTTCGACATCTAAATAGTTGTATGAATCGCGAATATCCTTTTCTTTTGTTTACATTTCTGTTCTGTCGTGACTCACTCTTTAGCACATGAGTACGATATCAGATAAGCCATAAGCAACCGATTCATCCTATAATTGCAACGTATGATCATCACATAAATAGTACGTGATCATTGTATGATTAGCGAAATATTTGAAGAAAAATGTTTGATAGTCAGTTAAAAATGATTTCCGAAATTTTTTTCGAAAATATTCTCAAAGAAAAGTTCCAATTGATAAAATTTATTATAATGGGCAAGAAAACCATCATTGCATACAATTCACAATAATTTATCTATACAAGCGGAATTACACGGAAGATATTCGGTAGATACTGATAAAATGACTTATTATTACGAAATCGTGTTGGCGCACACATGTTATTTCTTGAAGTTTACTTATAGAAAATAATGTAAACTAAAATTCTACTATCGCCAGCTACTTAATAAATTTCCAAATTTGACTATAATCCGTTAGTTTTTCCATGTCGAATGTAGTGAATTAAAAATTTTTTAGGTTACTTTTGTCCTGCATTTATTGATATCCTCGCATATATTCAGAATGTTGGAGGAGTGGAATATCTTATTGTAGTTATGTAATCAATATAAGCAGGATGTTGCCTATTCAAAGAAATTCTGGATATTTACTGGAATTTCCTATTAACTTTATTCAGTTTAAGCTGTTCTCGGACATTGATAAACGGTACATTTATGTAAAATATCAGGAATTACTCATTTATAATTACATTGATGTATGTTTGTCAGTTATTCTCTATATGACGATTGTTTTTTATTACTCACTACAATACGTGTATTGCTATTGAGTGGGAGACGTTGCACATTTAAACAATAATTAAGTTGATACCGAGAATTTATAATTACCTTTTCGTAAATAATGTTGAAAATAACTTACATAAAATGTTCAAAGTAACATGTATTGAAATTCCTTAAAATATTATATTTATTCGGCCGTGTTATAAGCTTTGTAATGGTCATTATTCTATATAAAATAAGTTTCTATATATTTTTAGGTTTTGTCGATATATTGGTTGATTACATCATTAATAAGGAAAATTTTCTACAAAATAAAACATCCTTGTTTATAGATAGATATGAAATACATAACTTGTTTATAAAACTCATTCAAAATAATATGAAAAATATTAGCACGAATGAGATATAGTAATATTATTAGTTGCTATTGGGTAGACTTATCACTCAATCTATGTTTTATCTCACATCTTTTGCACAACTAGTATGGAGGAGTTGTCGAAAGAATGACTCTGTGCAGAAATTATGTTCTTAACCTTCTCAATTTCAGTAAATTTCGAACACCGAAACTATTAACTGATTTCCCTTTTTCTAAATTTAAATAATTATTTCTTGAATGCAAAACATTATTTGTAATATTAAAAAAGGATATAAATGAACTTTCTTTTTCATAGTTTTGTATTCATTCGTTACATTATTTGAAATTTATTTTACAAGTTACTTGAAAATGGGTGTCAGAAAGAATTACTGACATATATAAAATTATTAATTCTACCAAAACAATTCAAACGAAGTACGAAAACTATATAACATAGGTATTCATGTCTCTCAGAAATAGAATTCTACAAGACTCACTTGAGACAAATATGAGAGCCACTACTTGCCACAGACTTTCGTATTTCTGACAATGATGTTTACATGTATAGTAAGGTAACAAAAAGTCTTTTTAAAAATATTGACTTTATCGACTATCGATGGAGAAGACTGAATTTAATGCCTAAAAGCACCGCAGACAATATTCGTCAAACTAAACTGAAGCGTGACCACTGACAACCAGAAATAAGAAGGGTTTTATAAGAAACAAAAATGGAGATCATGACGAACATATGTGACGATGGAAAGTTAAAAATAGAAAGTCTATTACTCAACTGACACACACTGAAGACAAATATTGAATATTCTTTTACACTTTATTACCACACCATATATTTAATGTAATAAAACTATCAAGGTCAAATGATTTCTCCAACATTTACTTCACATTTGTATTATGAAATTGATTTCTTTCACTGACAAAATGGATTTGTTTTTTGTTAATATACGCACATTTAATACACTAATTTTCTATCGCGTACACACATACCTGTTGCAGCTGTGGCGATTATGTACGCAAGTTATCGATCGACTGTCAACGCAGAATGTTGAAACTCAACTACTGACTTCAGTTGTGTCGGATCACATGCGTTAAATTCATATACGTCGTATCAGAGCGGACTAGGTGGGGGAGACCATGAAAAATATGAGGTACCCAAGAAACCTAACGTTTATCAGGCTTATCGTATACAAATCAATCGAGATCCTATAATTACTTTAAAAAGCAATTTAGAAAGATGTTTATTTTGCAATAAATTTTACTATAAGTTTAACGTATGTTCCTAAAAGGAGTATTACTTTCTAGTTTTGTAACTTACATTCCTGTGGCATAAAAATGGAAAAAAAAAAAAAAAAAAAAAAACGGAAAATAAAATGAAGACAAAAGATCGATTAGAACAATGTACAAGATAAAAGGTCTTTGCTAGTTATGAGTTTCATTCGCTGTTGGCGCTATTTTTTAAAAGTTTTCTATTTTAGTTTCTTATTTATTTAACATATAATTATTCTTAGACAACGCTTTATTTATCGTTGGAAAAATTTAAAAACGGTCGAAATAAGTTAAGATCAATGTTTTGTCAGTTGATGTAAGAGTTTTAGGAACTATTAAGTTAAATTATAAAAATTTAAAGTAAGCAATTATAAATATTTTCTTACATTGAATATAGTAAATGTGTACTACAATTGTTTCGCGAATTTATAATAAGAAATTATTAATTGAAAATCATAAATAGAATATAAAAAATATACACAAGATACGCAATAACTATTTATAAGCAAAATTTATAAAGGAACCCAGCAACAGTTGCGATTGAGTTATTTTAATAATAATTAAATTGATAATAACAAAGTTTTAAAGAGAATTTATTGCTACCCTGAAGATAAAGTTGTCATGTGTTTGACGATCGATTACCGATATTATATTATCAACTGCATTATCTGTTCCATCCTAGATGGATCAAATTTTTCTGTCATGTATACAAGTTAATCAATAGCCTGTAAAAGAAACTTCGAGTTAACATTATCTGAGTTAACATTATCTATTTGGTTTTGATATATACGTATACTATTGTATACAAAAACATATTTAATTTTACAAATGGTGTTTCGCTACAAATATCTTTAAAATTCAACTGGACACTACAGTGAGTTGTAGATTTCAACATTTGTAATTCTACGATCTAACAAATCAAACTGCGACCGATCGATATAAATATTCGTGCGTGTAAATATATGTTCTTTGGCTAGTAGGACAACAATCACCCTAACAATAACAATATAAAGACAATAAAACGCGTTATATATGATAACATCATTTCATTGCCTAATTAAAAATAAGATGTTTACAAATTTTACAACAAACTTTAATAATCGTTAACAGAGTTTTTTTCTAAATAACATTTGAACGTATTTAATTTAATTACGATCGATCGTTCGCAATAATAACCGTTTAAATTTCAATTCCTAGATAATGTCGCGAGTATAAAGAGTCGAAAACTCAGGCAAATTATCTTAAATACGAGAAAATAAACTACAAGTAAAATAATCTTAACGATCATTTGCGAGGATAAGTTTCAATATCGATATAACTCGAAATATATGGTCGTTAACGCGCCTTTAATTCGATGTTATTGATAGGAAGAAACCAGGATTATATTACTATCAATATGCTGGCAGTATCGAATTGGATTTTTAACTGTAAACGGATTCCTTTGGAATGTTTTACCGATCAAGCGAACAATATCGACAGATCAACGACGCAGCCGAAAAAGGGCGGGAGCACTAAAATTCACGGTGATTTCGCACTACGTGTTTCGAGCACATAGACGTGCTTCTCTCAGTCTTCGTCTCTTCACGAGGAGCGGTCTGGCGTGGTCTTGGTCTTGGGTTTTCGTCCAAGCAGCTTGCGGAACGAGGATGTCCACCTTGACCGTGTGAATCCTGTCGTGCTTTGTTCGTCCGGTTCGCTACAACTTAGCGACTCGCTGATTTTTCTGCTTTTACCACTGCTGCTGCTGGTGCTACTACCCCCATTTTCATAACATCGTGATCTTCGATCTCCGATTTCCGAAGAAAACCTGAAGAAGCATGAAAACGTATTACAAATGACATTTCGCCGAGTCATTGGATTATCGGGCATCTACGTTAAAGCCACGTGGGCGAAATAATAACCCTGAATCGGATGAAAAGGCTCTAGCCGTAGCTGGAGCACTCGAGTTGGCAGATGAAAGCGATATTTCAGCAACAGGAGTACTTGGATATGCTTCGTCATCGGATGTACTGTTACTACTGGTCGTACTACTGCTGCTGCCGTTGCTTCCACCGGCACTACTGTCGACGCTGGAATCATCGATGAAACTTATTTCTCGATCGGCCAACGGTGAACTGGTCCTCTGTCCGCGCGATGTCGGCGTGGCAGACGTTGTGCTAGGTCGCAACCAGGTACGTAAGTCCTGCAGTGGCGCTTGAAGGCACTTGAAAAGATTTCCACTGAAATACGTTTAGAAACAACGGATAAATCTTTTTCCAATTTGCGAACGCGCGTCGTACCTCTCGCTCGTCATCCACTTACTCATCGCGATAATCATCGATTTCGGCGAAAGTGCGTCTCGTGTACAAACACACGGAACACCGTCGACGACGGCGGCAAGACGTGGCATGTAAGGTCGCTGCACGAAGGTGTCTGGCCGCGTGTCTCAACGTCATCGTCTCTCGAGTCAACGCTGCTACACCTTCCTCTCGTCTACGTCTCTCTTCTCCCAATTCACCCTGCTCTATGCGTAGCTTTTCCTTCAAAACTTCGTTCTAAAAAAATATCAAAAATATGGAAACAAGATATTAAAGAATCGATCATTTTTACGGAAACAGTTGCTTTGCTCTTATCGATATCACCTCTCTCTCCAGAGCATCTCGCTCGGCACGAATGACAGTGGCCTGTCTGACAACGTCCTGACGAGCTCGTTCAAGAGTTTGCCTGGTGATCTCGTTTTGCGCGAGCTGCATCTGCAGACGACGCAAAGCCACCTCGCGTTGCCTCTCCAGGCGATCCCTGGCAGCGATGCAGCTGTCTCGTTCGGTTTTAGCTCTCTCCACCTCTTCCTCCAGACGAAGGCTTCGTTCCAGTTGCAGAAACAGCTCGTCTTCCTTGCCGCGCAGTTCTGCCTCGCAACCTTCCAATCGTTTTTCCAACGACCGTCGTGTCTCCTCTAACTTGTCCCTCTCGGCCTGAAACAAATTACATTCCAACCCTTATTACCACATTCTCGAACACCATTTCGCTCTTCTTTTTTCCCCTTTTCCTCTCCATTTTCCTACCTGATATTTCGCGAAGCAAGCGAATATCATCGAACGAGTTTCCCTATCGCGACACGTGAACTCTTATCTCTCGATTCTCGCGTATTTTCGTATCCGGCCATGTCATCGGACCCGATTTCGCGGAAACAGGTCGGTAGACATTATCAACGAGACGAACTCGAATGCCAGTGGTTGTCAACCTGCAACGCGAACGAGTCCGCGGGGAAGCGTTAACGGGGATAATAGACCTAATTAAAAAAGAGAATGGAACAGAATGTGCTTCCAGCACTGCATCTGATTTCATGGCCGTTGCTTTTGGCTGCCCCTGTTGCGTCTACAGCCGGCTGCATGCAAACGCCATCGGTATCGTTACCCAATCGATTTCTCGCTGCCAAACGTATTCAAATTCCCGCTCGAATTTCCAGTTCCCCCTGTCGTGGGACCACCCATACCGAGCATACTACCGCTAGTACAACGATCGTTGCATAATACGAGGCTCGAAGCGCAATGGTTTTCCAAAATCCCAAACGCAGTGGGGCTTAAAAATTCGTACAAGTGGCGCCGCACCGCGACGAGTCGGCGCGGTATCTTCGCCAGCAATCTACGCGCAAAACCCCAGCTCACCGAAATACGATGGCAAGGTTCGCCGTGCATTAAGGTTACAGCCAAACGTAGAGAAGTATTTATAGAAGAAACGCGATGGACTGGCCGGTTGTAAATTCATCCTCGCCAAATCCCAATCAGTCTAATCCATTCGCGAGTGATTCGTTCGGTCGATTGCGTAAGCTCGATTAATCATAAAGCAGCAAGACTGTTCGCGTACAGAGCAGTGTACTTCATTATCGGGAAATCACATACTCGGCCGATGAGCATGACTAAAAAGCCAAGCAAACGGAATGACGCAGATTCGCCACTCCTACCCCGGCTGGATCGCGTCTGGCATCGCGCTAGATGCCAGATTGTAGGTCAGCCTAGGCAGACTCCTCGATGGTACGAGGTTGATGAACGGCATCACGGGCCGGTGCAGCTCGGAGCAGGCCATTTCGCGGCTTCTGGCCCAGCGAAACTAGGAGGAGACGGTGGAAAAGGCGGCTGGGAGGAAACCGAAGAAAGTCGACGGGAAAGAAGGAGGCGAACGATCAAGCTGGGTAATGGCGGTGAGAGTGGGGGCGGGACGAGTTGAAAGACAAGACGCGAAACCGCAGAAGGAAAAGCGGAGTAACGAAATGTAACCGTTCCTTCTCCGCGAGAGTCTTTTTGCCTTCCCCTCTGCCACCTCCTCGCGGCTCGGTTTTGTTTCTGCGGTTTTGCCTCCGTACGATGACCACGCTGAATTCTGCGGAATACAGCGGACAAGCAGACGTACAAGTGGCCGCGCGCATCCACTGGAAGGCCAAGGGGAAACCAGTAACCACCGGCGAAATCGAACTACGTGGCCTTCCTAAGGAAATACACAGTGACCAGCAAATCTGAACTCGAAAATCGTCGAAAGTACAGCATGATTTGTTCACTGATGCACTCTCACAGTACCACGGCCTAAACAGAGCTGTCCATGGAGCTTATGTGTTCTTACATCGAGGTAATCTGACGAATTTGCATAGGTCCAATGGAGTTTAAGGGTTTGCGAGTCACTACCGAGCGAATCCTTCGTGGTCCATGTCACATTCGCTTCATCTCGATATTTTCATAGTCGAGGACCTACTTCTTATCCTAGAGGTTCTACTAAAAATTCGTTCTATTCGAATATTCTGCGTTCAGGTTGCTAACGGTTTACTCTTCATACTGGTAATCGTGACCGATCTTCAGAATTAACGGTTCAGATGAGTAGGTATTGTTTTTACTCGTCATTACCGAGCGAATCCTTCGTGTTCCATGTCACATTCGCTTCATCTCGATATTTTCATAGTCGAGGACCTACTTCTTATCTTAGAGGCTCTACTCAAAATTCGTTCTATTCCAATATTTTGCGTCCAGGTTGCTAACTGTTTGCTCTTCATACTGGAAATCGTGAACGATCTTCAGAATTAACGGTTCAGATGAGTAGGAATTGCTTTTACTCGTTCTACGACTACAGAAGATTTCGTTCTAATCTGATCTAGCGTAGTAATTTAGAAAATCTTATTGTTACTTTTGAAAACTGCGTTTACCACGGTAAGGAGCAAGCAGTCGGTTAATTTTAGTCTTCCTATCTTTACACGACACTTTTTCCGACCATTTTTCTTCCCTGTTCAGTTTTACTTCTTGCTATACCTCCGTCTCAGTTTTCGCATCCGCCTCCATCGTTCCCTAGACCTCTTTTCCTCCAAGGCCTTGCGGACACTCCTTCCCTTCCTTCCATTTACTTTCTTTCGTCTTTTCGTCTCGTTGCAGATTTTTTCCGGACTCCTTGGTTAAAAGTGGAGCTACCAAACCGGTAGAACGACAGGTTTTGTAGCTTTTATCTTCGCATTTCCTTGGAATATGCAAGTGCAGCGACGGAATTAGCATTGACGTCCATTCACGAGTGATTACGCGCATCCAGTTCCATTGTATCGATTGAACCCTCTCGTAGGAGCTTTAATGTACTAGAAAACGTGTTTTCTCCTGGCGAGGAACAAAGAAAGATGTTAAAGAAACGTCATTTTTGGCATTTTGGGACTTTGTCGAGGAACGATGGAGAAAGTTGTAAAGGATGAGTCGAAATATGTAGAAATGAGATTGATCAAATATAAGGTGCCCCAACAACGGTAGTACAAGGAGGTGGTGATTCTAAGTGAGAAAATCCACTTTGATGGACTAATGGTCCATCCGCCTTAGTCAAAGTTAAGTGCATGCACACTCGGCGAATATTCAAAGTCGATTTCCTCGAAAACGATGCTTCGAATGAAATAAATTTATTCTTTATTTTCCATTTGTTTTTTCACATAGAATCCCTCCCTTCCCATTTGGATACTCTGTATTTGACCAGCCTCCTTGTCACGTATTGCGACTAATTTACTAATTTTTGACAGCTTTCCTATCATTTCTCGGCAAAGTGATACAGGAACTTTTTGTTCCTTGGAAGACGATGCTCTTAAGAGTCCTGAAGGGACTTATCATTTCCAGACGATGCCAAAAATGGCCCTTTTTTAACATCTTCTTTTAGTCGATGTTATCTTATTGCGCACATCGACGCCTCTGTTCGAATAGGGTATCCACGAGAAAAATAATTCTGTCTAATAATTAACAAGGTTAATCGTTATCGCCTATATATAGCGTTTACGTGTAATTACAAGAATCAGTACGTGTAGCTCTCGCGTTAATCTGCCTCTGTACATGGCAACAGAACGTCCCGTGCCAATTTCCTCGTACACTCGCGTGGTACATTGTTTTCAGCCTGGCCTGCCTGGCCGTTTTCTTGGCAAGTTTTTCCACGTAGAAGCTACGTAATTGCAGCTTACATATTTAGTTGGACGAAGCCTAGATTCCGGCCGTTTCATTCGATCGAGGTCGAATGTCGAGAGTCGAATTAAACCTTGTCGTACCAGTTAAGTACCTCGTTATAGGTAACGGTTAATTGCACGTCGATATTTCGTGCAACAAATCCGGAGCACGGGGCAAGAGAAAACGGTGCATGCACGAAGATGGAACGTCCTATTTCCGACCCTTCTTTTTCCCCGATTGTTCCTCGCGAGAAAGCACCGAGAGTCTCATCCGACAGCTGCTGCTCTATCGAATTTCTTTGCGAGCTGTGCGCGAAAGCTCGAAAGAAACGCCGAACTCGACATGGGAAATCCTGGCTGTCAGAGGCTACGGTTACGGCGTCTGAAAGTCTGAATGGCATCGGCCATTCAACGAGAATCGAGAACGTGTAAAGAATGAAACGCTCAGAGCTGTAACGCGCACGGTCCCCCCGTGCGATCATGATCATCGTGGGCAAGAACACCTTTGTCGGCTGTGCTGAAACGTTTGCCGAGAGAAACGGGAGAATGCCTTGGTGGATATACGTTTGCAAGGCCTACAACTACACACCTGTAACGTGTACTTAAATATAACGCAGATAACGATAATTAACAAGTCGTGTTAGATCGCGTGGATAATGCTGATTGATACGCCGTACTAGTGCACACAGATAATAGTGGAATCAGTTAGCTACGAGAAATAAATAAGACCGAAATAATTATCCGGGTACTAGTCTGCGCTAATTTCATTGGAAACGGTTGATTATCATAATACTCATTGAAATTATTCGTTTCAACGCTTTCACTAGGAAGCTAGTCGAACTGACTGGTTCCAAATTTCTGGTTTCTTGCTTTATAATTGTAGGAAATATTTAGTTATTTGATTTTTAACGAATAAGCGACACTCGTTGCTTAATGTACACACAGGAGTTGTATATGTAAAATACGATAGCAATATGGAGAAGTTGAAGAAGGACTAATGCATAATGCATTAGAATAAATCATAAATAACTATTTTTGGCAAAATTAGCGTCGATCACTACCGAGATAAAAATGTAACGTAATTATATAAATCAATTTATTTTTATCGTACCAGTCTGATTTAGATCCAATGTGCACATTCTCTCGTGTGAACCAATAAGCGAGATATACAGGGTGAACACATTTCGAAACGTTCGATCGTATTATGTATATATACTATTCCTCTTGGTATTATTATTATTACGATAAGAAGTATTATCAATGTATGCTATATTTAATTCTTTGCTGTCTTTCCTCGGCGATTTCTTCGTCGCGAAAAGATAGCAATTTAATGATATTCTGCTAAAGCTACTCTGACATTTTCGAAAGTCGTATCTATATAAATTAAGTCGTAGAATTATTTAATTTCGATATTTCGCTTTAAATTCGACATATCGCTTATCGATCTTCAGAATTTTATTAAACACCGGCTGAAGGTCGCCCCTGGAGTGGCAAGGGGCAAACGAGCGTTACAGATCGGTAATTCTATTATCAAATGCGAGATAAGAGTGACAGTATACTGACTGAACCGGGTAATTGTTTCAGATGATAGCTTTGTTATTATTGCGTACGGGAAAAATGTCTCAAAAGAAAGATAAATGGCCTGAAGAGCTCTTCAGGAAATTTATCTGCAGATCCTTGTGTTCGTTTCAATCATGATAGTGCAAAATTGAGAAACAATGGCTACGATGCAACGGAGAAGCGTTTGTACCTTCGAACATCTTCGACGAAGACATTTCTAGAAAATATCTGGAGAATTGCGAGGAGGAGTCTTTATTTGGATGGCGTCACCCTGCGTCGGGATCTATGTTTGCTTCGAGGAACCATCAAGATTATCAATTTTCGAAGCAGGACTGAGTGGCGCAATGGGTCGTCATAGGGCCTATAAGAACCTGGCTAAAGGGTTCCAGGGAACACACTCTTT